CCTCTGGTGCAAATTACTGACCTCTGTCATCATTTTAGGTGGGGGAACTTGCACAATCGGTGGCTGACTAAATACTTTTTTGCCCCACTGTATACTGTAGGTTTTGTTGTTGTTGTTGTTTTTTGTTTGTTTGTTTGTTTGTTTGTTTGTTTGTTTTAATGTAATCACCACTGGTAGCAGCACTGAGCATCTGTGTATGTGAAAATAATAACCTGTCATGTAACACACATGACATACTGGCACTCTGCTACAGGCATAATGATTAAACCAAAAACATGATTACTGGAATGCGGCTTGACAAGTTATATTTTTCAGAATTCTTTGCTTGTTCGATACAATGAAGTGTCACGTAACAGCTGCTTCCCAGCAGTAAATGCTTGATAGGCATAGTGTCAAAACAGGTCATTGTGACGTGATTTCACTTATCCAAAAAGGTTTGGATCATGGCTACCTTTTATTTGACAAGCCACTAAATTATCAACGTGTTGTGTCCTCAGTCATGACAACTGACCTTTAGAAGATAAATTATTGAAATTAAATAATGATATTCAGTGAGTTTAATTATTTTAAAATGTAACACAAGTACATTGTAAGTAACTGTAATTAAAATACCTAAAAATGAACAGTAATCAGTTACTCTACTTTTTCAGTGGAAAAGTAATTTAATTACAGTAATGCGTTACTTAGTAACGCGTTACACCCAACACTGCTTCTGAGGTATCTGGAACACAGCATTAAAAAGCAATTGCTGAGGTTATTGTGGTTACTTAACATATTTTATATACAGTCTGTGATCACAACACTAACAAAATGACTGCATAGATGGTTGCGTTAAAAAAAATGGGAGGCAGGAAAATAATAAATCCTTGTAACTACAAAACTACTCTAGGTGTTATTGCATTTTTAGGGAGCTTCGCTTTTAGAAGTTGAACTACAGATTTGATGGAGAATTAAATATGTTGAAGCGACCATGACCAGAGCCCGGATAGCTCAGTCGGTAGAGCATCAGACTTTTAATCTGAGGGTCCAGGGTTCAAGTCCCTGTTCGGGCGGCGGAAGTTTTAAATATCGAGATTAAACACTGAGCATAAACAAAACCCAAATTGGAACTACATGATATAAATTTTAGGAGTCGTGATTATGTAGTTCTTCAACTAAATGCTGTGGCTTGTATTCAGCCATTGTATTCGTTTATGTGAGTGCTATATCCTGGTGTCCTACTGTAACCTGAACGAATACAAATAAAAGCTTTAGATCAGCCTCGTTTCGTGTCTGTTCTACGTTACATCAGCCCAGCTCGTTTCTCTGAGTCCAGTGACGATCTCTGCCCTCAAACGACATCACGTGAAAGAATAGTGACAGGGCGGGCTCGCGGGATCCCTCAGCCAATCGGCTCCTCTGTTTTGCGGCTTCCCATTCGACGATAAACATTGCGACGTGACCCGCAGAGCTCCTCAGTGAGGCAATAGCACGTCAGCGGGAGGGAGGTCGAGTGTAGTCCATAGTTGATCTTATTACCACAAGACTGGAATTACCCGACAACATTAAAGACACGCACACTTTTACGGTGAAGCAGTGTCCCGTTCAGAAAGGAGAAGACGCTGTCCTGTCGCTCTGACGTCTGCCATTACCAACGCACTCCCGCTAGCCGTGGCAGCTAGCGCGAGCTAGCTAAGTTAGCTGTTACATACCCTCGCTTTTAGCACGCAGCTGACCTCCACCACAACACAGACCTCCTGAGTAACATTTGCTTACTACGACGGGGTCGACATTCCCCCGTCTCTTCACTTACGTTCCCGTTGCCCCCTGTGTGGTGCCCCGTGGACGCTTCCCGAATATGATCCACAATGAGTCAAAGAGATACCTTAGTTCATCTGTTTGCTGGAGGGTGAGTATATTCCTCGTCTTCCTGTCGTCAGAGCGGGGCTAGCTAGCCACACACTGTGAGTTAATTGCTATCGCTATAGACGCTGTAGCTGTCCATTATGCGATATCCGTATTGATATTTTGTGTATTTTGGCTTTGGGTAGTTGCGTAAAGGTAACCCAGAGATAACTTTTTGCATCACTGTCAGATGTCAGCTAATCTTGTCCTCACGTATGCGCACTCGCAGTTTTCTCAATGACATTTCAATGTATGAATGAAATGGCTTTTTACGAACACTCGGAAGTCTTCGTCAGAGTTGTGTATTATCATATATTATTTATAGCTACGATCAGGAAAATTTTGGCTTTAGAAAGCCGGCGTCTTTAAACGTCTGTGCGCCTTGTGTGCAGCAAAACAAATGTGGGCAGACTCCCAGTAAAGGTCACTCGAAATAGTGACATCTCAACTATGTCAGCGTATCTTAACTATAGGCTTGTATCAAACTCGTTTTCCAAAGCATATTCGGTATATAGCACGTTCAACTATGATTGAATCACAGCCTGGGACTGTTACGAAAGGGTGTGAATCAGCAATCCTGTATTTTTGCAGATCCGTGAATTTTGCAGAAACGTTCATCTTCCGTCTGAAAGACTGACCTGGTACACAGTGAAACACAATACTAGTGTTTCAGCACTAGAAATGGGCAAAGGGATAATTTGTCAGCTTAAATGAGCTCTTTGCTTCTCTTTAACAACATGCAGCAGTTTATTACACTGGCATACTAAACCATATTTAAGAAAAGCACGGATAAGAGTTCTTCTGCTTTTGTAGGCCTGAACATGTTGAGTGGGTGTTATCTTGTTAAAGGAGTCAGTTTTTGCATATTAAGCTGTAGTCGTATGATGTCTCTGATGTCCTGCTTTCCCTTTATATACAGTAATTATCTGACTCTTGATTACTTCACCTCTGCTAAAAACTGTGTTTTGGGGACTTGCTTTCCCTGTTTATCTGTGTGTGTGTGTGTGTGTCTCTCTCTCTCTAACACACAGACACACACACTCTCTGTTTTGGTATCAGTTGAAAATTAACTTTAAGTGTAGATAACTGCTGTTTACAATTCTTTTGCTATTGCCTAGCCTAAACTAAACCTAACAGGACCTGACCAATACAGTCCTGTTAGGCTCAGTTTATTTATCGAGTTCATGTAGATAATATTCTTGTGCTTTGTCGATGCAGTTTGTTTTACTTTTCGTACCTGACTGTACGTTGTACCTGCTGTTTGAATATTTGTAAAAACTGTAAAAAAAATAAATAATAACAGTATGTTTACAAGATATGTTAGCCACCATATCTATTGTACCTCATGCTTAAAAAAAAGTCTGTCATAAAAATTCAAAATTAGCAATGCATGGGAGCCCCGAATATTGCAATGAACATGGTGTAGGCATTAAGATCATTTAGAACATCAATGATATATTAGTTTTCTTTTCACATTCAGTTTCATTACAATTATACTAAAAATGATACATTTAACTTGTGCATCCCCATGATCTAAGACTGCAGCGTTAGCTTTGTACACATAAAATGAGGTAGCCTTTAGTTTCTGTGACACATAATTAGCTGCCATTGGTTGAAATAACCAAGCTTTATTACTACATTTACACTGTTCTAAGAATCCTCTTCTAATCATGATGATCTAAACCAAGGTTCCAATGTTTTCTGCACTTAGCTTTCTGATATTAATGGCCACTCAAGTGGCCATTAATATCAGAAAGTATAGAGATTTATTTTTATATTTGAATCTGCCTGACAAAATCCCCTTGTTGTAATTCTAAATGTTTAGTTGCTGCAAACTGGCTACTCTTGGCAGTTTCCCTTCTCAACTTCCTCTCTGGCAGGCTAACCAGGTCAGTCTTCAGTGCTGATCCTACTGTGATCTTGAGATCCAATAAGCTTGCGAGTCATTCCAATCAGAACTGGCAGCTAGGGGAGAACTGGTTCACATGGCACTACAGCAATGTAATTGATTCTGCAGAGGAGAATTTATAGTATTCCAAACATATACGATTACTTATGCTTCAGAGAAACTAATGATACATCTTTGTCCTGATGTATGACATGATGTATACAAAGTGGGGCTGGCTGGACCTGACTTTGAAGCCTGCTAAAAAACAGAAGTATTTTTATTTGTTTCCTAGTTTATTAAAATCCACATATCTAGGAATTTTAATATGGTGTGGTGCTAAATGGGAGCATGCTGTTACTTCCCAAGAAACACAAAGCATTCCTGGCTGGCTTTCTATCCCAACACTGTGCTTTTTCTTGTCTACATGCCTGGGATCTTTAGAATTCCACTCACCACACCGGGTGATTCGTTTAGGCAACGCTTTGCGGATCTTTTGGTAAAGAATACAGGAACTGTTTGTGCCGATTTTATCTGTTGTGCTTTGCTGGCTCACATCAGCCTTCTCTGTTTTTGCACCAGATGTGGGGGCACCGTAGGAGCCATATTGACTTGTCCACTGGAAGTAGTGAAGACCCGTCTCCAGTCATCCTCCATCACCCTCTATGTGTCTGAGGTTCAGCTCAGCACTGTCAATGGGGCCAGCGTGGCCCGTGTGTCTCCACCGGGCCCCCTGCACTGTCTCAAGTGGGTATCTTTTAACATGTCACACACAGAGCATATTTTGACATTGTACATAATGTTAGCATTGCTTTGAATTAGCAGCTTACAGTTATTTGAGCTAAAATGAGTGGAGCTGTTCACATGTGTATTCAGTTGTCTGTACTCTCCCCGAGAGGTGGTTTAATCTGGCCAGTGCCCCCCTGGCAAAACCACTCGCTCCCTGAAATACAACTCCTCAATAGCAGCCTTTGGGAGAGGCACACACAGGAGAACACACTAGTTGCTTTAGTCAAAGAGGACCTTTCACAGCAAATCCAACTGTTACCATTTATTTATCTGTGATTTTATTTGTGAAACTAATCATCAGTCACAGTATCTGTTATGACAGTCACAGCAATACCATACAGATTTAGGCAGAGGGTGTAGTGGTTTACACATTGGACTAACACGTTAATGATCCCTGGTTCAGTCCCAGAATGAGACACAAATCCCAAATGTAGGGTTTCATTAGCATCCGATGTAAAACCCAAACCCATTGTGGCAACCCAAAAGCAGCATGGCAACTTTAGAAGAGGAACGAATGCTACTCTGAAAAAAGTGTGTTCGATGGCAGAGTGCCACCTTTCCAGTTTAGTCATATGGGAGTTGCCAGCTGCAGCTTTGCTCTGCAGGATGTAGTGTATTCCTAACTTATTCATGTTTTATATGTTCTCCAGCTGCCGCTGAGTACAGACATTGTTGACATGTTGCAGGCTGTAGATGAAGGGGTGCAGTCAGCAGGCCTGTGTGAAAACACCTGGCTACCCCTGCTAACTAAAGCTGAAACTGCACACCAGTATTTAGACCTGATTCATGACTGGAGACTGAAACTCTTCAGCTTTTGGAAGCTGTTGCCAAAGACTGAGAAATGAGCAAAATCATATCACAATTTCTGGCTCTAGTTTAATTATTACTACTTGTAAATCTCATGTTGATTTGGGTGAAAACAACCTGCAGCATAGCACATTGGGTGCTGCCACTCTTTAAAGTGGTGGAGTGCTCCTAATCCTTGGGAACAAACTGAGACATTGTGTTTTATTGTGTGTCCCCCCTAGACCTTGCGGTGTTCATTACACACGACAATCCAAGTGTTGGAGTGACAGTTTTTGCTATTCTTAGATTGCCTGCTTGTTTTAGGGCTTTGAAACTAGGTTAAGGTTCCACACAGAGGGTCTGGGTTGGTGATGTGGTGAGGGGGGCATAACAAAACTGTAATGACTATAAATAGGGCTGGCACTCTGGGATTGTCTGACTGGCATCATCTTTAGGAAAAGACTTTCTGTCAGATAACCTTGGAGTTTTGTGCAATACGTT